GCCTCCCCAATTACCTGAGGTAGACACTCTTGGTGCACCCCCTTTTGGGCTTCGTGCACAGTCTTGTTGTAGTTAAGCCTTGATTGTTGTAGATAACACTGGGAGGGATTGACCTCCAGGCCAACTGGCTGTGAGAATCAGCTGTGTCTGCAGTGGGAGAACTTCTGTGCTGGAGATACCCCTCTGGGGCAAGACTTGCTTCAATGGGGCTTTGGTGCTCACTGAGTCTGCCCCCGGAGTGTGTCCTTTATGGATCTGAGGAGCTGCAATCTGGATGGTCCCACTCTGACCACTGGCACACTGGCTCTTGGATCTCTAAGGAGGTGCTAATCTAGCCTCTGCCTGAGGCTATCCAGCAGGAGCCAGCTGTGACGCAATGCAATTTACCCTGGAGCCTTGGACCAGCTGCAGTTTGTTAGGTAATTATCAGATTGCAAAGAGCCAGACCTTTCATATGCAAAAACCTCCCAGGCTTGGGCGGGGCGGGGTCCTAGGGGATCAACAGTTATGGCTGCTCTCAGTCCTGCCCTCAGAGGCCCTGCTTCTCAGTGTCCTGGCAATCGCTGCATGCACCCCCGAGAGAAAGCTCCCCCCGAGTTCCAACCGATGCCAGACAGTCCAGTTTCTCCCCACATGAGTCTGGGTCCCCAGAGACTCGCCTGGAACTGGAGCTCAGAGCTTGAGACTCCCTCCCAATTGAAAGACAACCGTTTCCTCAGCCACCAGACTTCTCCCCATGCGCCTCCGTACCTCTGTATTTTACTCCCGCACCACACCTCCTCTGAGTCTCGGTATGCTTTTCTCTTTCCTTCTAGTTATAGAATTTCCACTCAGCCAGCCTTCCTGTGGTTCTGGATGATGTCCGTTCCGTCTTTTCGTTGTATTTTTGAAGTGGTTGTGTGAGGCAGCAATCTCCGGTGTTTACCTATACCACCATCTTGGTTTCTCCTAGACTTTATATTTTAGAACAGTTTTAGATTTACAGAAAAAATTTCAAAGATAGTAGTTTCTTTATGACTCCTGCCTGTGCACATAATGCTTTCTCTATTATTAACCTCTTGCATTAGTATGGTATATTTGTTAAAATCAATGAACCAATATTGATACATTTTTATTCATTAATGCCTATAGTTTATTCAGATAGCCTTAGCTTTGACCTAATATCCCTGATAACTTTTCTTGTTCTAAAGGCTACTTTGAAATTCATAGAGCTATTCCAGTTTTCTTTAGATTAGCATTAGTATGGTAGTATATGAATCCCCTTACTTCTTGTTATTGTTGTTAATCCTCACCTGAGGATATCTTTTTCCATTGATTTTTTTTTGTTTTGTTTTGTTTTTTGAGGGAGTGGAAGGGATGGAGTGGGGGAGGTGAAAGAGAGAGGCAGAGAGAGACATGGATGTGAGGAAGATATTGATTGGTTGCCTCTCACATGCACCCAGACTGGGGCCAGGGGCTGAACTTGTAAACCAGGTACCTTCCATTCATTGGCTGGAAATAGGGCCTGTGACCCTTTGGTGGATGGACCAATGCTCTAGCCATTTAGTACACCAGCATGGCTCAGTTAAACTTCTTTAAAAATTTGTTAGTGATTACAATGTACTTTTACAACTAATCTAAGTCAGTTTTGAAAGAACACTGTACTGCATCATTGTTATCAGTAGTACAGATTTTTTATAACAGAATATTTCCAGTTCTCCCCTCCCATCTCTTATAACATTCTGTCATTCACTTATCCATATGCTAGAATCACCAATGCTTTGTTGCAATTATTTTAAATCAACAGTTATCTATTAGATCAGTTAAGCATAAGAAAATGCTTTAATTGACCTTCATTTATGTCTTTTCTGATTCTAGTTTCTGACCCATATCCTTTTCCTTCTCTCTGAAGACTCTTTTAATATTTTGTAAGGCAGGTCTATTGGTGACATATTCCCTCAGTTTTGTTTGAGAAAGTATTTATACTTCACTTTTGAATGATAATTTTTCTGAATATAGGATTCCAAGTAGGTGGGTTATTTTCTTTCAACACTTAAAATAT